TTTTATATAAATGACTTGTTGCACTTTAAAGGGGCCATTGCGCTTTATTACAAACCAGCTTGGTTAGCACTAGAACACTTTATTTAGCACTGCACTTTAAGCATAGATTTGCACATAAAGAACAGTTTGCACACAAGGTTTTTGAAATATTTATTGAATATTTATTGTTGAATAGGGTGTGTAACATTGGTTGGGCTGAAAATGGCATACCGGTATTTGCTGGTCTATAAGCCCTAATGCAGGCCTGATTAAAAGCCCTAGAATGAAACAACAGGTTTTTCTTCCTTTTATGGTATGCTAATGAATATTTAGCTAATTGGTTAGTTTACAACGAGCGAAGCTGCTGAGCAAAGACGTATCATAGCAACAAGCACTCACTCACAGAAACATCAAAATTGTTGAAATGGTAGGGTGACCAGACATACTCTTTTTCATGGACATGTCCTACTTTTCATACCTAAAAAAATAAGATTTTGGTCGACTACAGTGCAGCATGAAGTCAAAAACACACTGGAGATTTGAATCAAGCCATCAGTTGGTCCGGGAATCCCGGCGGAAAGGGTAGGGAGCCAGCGGGGGACGGGGCAACCGAACCCCGACCAGTAGCCTGGACATAAGCGGCCCCGTGCTTCCCCCCGCATGCCTTACTGGCCACCAGCCCCCCTCCTCCGGTGGAGGATAGGCGGCTCATGGCTCTCTGCTGAGGTCCGGTCCAGGGTCCCCCCCCCCAGTTGCAAGCAGCTGTAGCCGGCCCATTGAGACACTGAGGTACTCTAAGAGAAAAAAATCATGTTTTTTATTTAAGCACCATTATTGGTGCCAAACCCTCATGGGCTTATTCGACACAAAAAATCATGAAAATTTTGCATGGGAAACAAAATACTTTCATATGGGAAACAAAACACTTTGCCACAGACACTGGGCCTTTTCCAAAAATGTTTCCAAAGCAAAAACATCCTTTTCAAACAGCCAGCACAGAATCTAATAAGTGAGTCATCTATAAGTGGATGGGGCCCAAAAGAGAAGACATTCCCAGTTTGGGTCTATAGCGTTTATAGCATATCAATGCCCTTAAGTAATCTAAAAAAAAAAAGCTGAACTAATTTAATCATAGGTCATCAAAATAGATCTATTTGTTTAAGTTGAACTGAATGTTTGTAGCATGAGAAAGTTTCCATCTGTTCTTTTTTTGTGTGGCATCTGTAGAAAATCAACATTGCAATCCTCAGACATCCATAATTCATTTGCAGCTTGGATTACCTGGAAATGTATTAACATATCTTACAAAATTGGAGGAATAAAAAGACTGTGTTACCTTGTACTTCTACATCTTCACTTGGCAAAGAAATGCAAGACAGAAATTATATAGAGATCTGGGATGCATAAATGTATATTTGCCTCAGAGTGCAGCTCCACCATAAGGTGAAAAGATAAATATATGCTTTTCCCTTGATGTTGACATTTACGTAATAATAAAAAAAAAATATATGAGCTCAGTCTTCTTCATTTCATCATCCTCAAAGATCCAAAGTTCTATAAAGATAATTGTCATTTTTATTACAATCATATAACAACTAATGTTTAACCAACTTCCTTTTCTTTGGTTGTATTGCACAATGTATACACAGTGAGGTCACCTTTTCCATTTCATGTACAATTTCGGATAAGCAATAGCAGATTACTTTAAAGTTTACTGACAGAATTTTTGTACAGAAAACACCATCATTTTCACTTAAGCTCGGAATGGTTTGCAATGGTTTTTACAAGCAACAACTCACTCATTGCTGAGAAAAAATACCAAAAGTATAGAGTAGATAGCGTCCAGAGTGTAGACAATGGAATTGAAGATTGTCATGACTGTAATCATAACCAGTTTGTCCCAGCTACAGAGGCGGCCACAGTCCACTGGCCTCTTATTATTGTGAAAAGAATATAGTGGCCATATAACCATAGCTGTTATATACATCAGTGCTGCCAAAACATTATAAACAATTGCAAACTTTTCGAAAGAAAAAGGAAAATAGACCGTAAGATTACCAAGTGTGAGAAAGGTTATGGCGATAGCAAAAATAAAACACAGGGAGTACACAGCTACACACCAGTTCAGTGCTGGGGACCCTGAGTACTGTGAAACTTCCAGTGAAAGGAAGATGAGGAAGGTAAAAAAGCTTTCCAGCATCTTCATTATACCTGGCGGAGTGGAAAGAAAGCCACTGTTCTGTCCCGTTGAGCGAAGATGTATTAGGACCACCTGGGCCACATATAGCGCAAAACAAATCCAGGACACCACAGAAGCTCCAATCTGTCTGTAACAGGTATTACAGGTGAAAAAGGTTGGGTACAGGATGGAGGCAAACAGGCACAGCACACTTGCCAGGATAGCAAAGGCAGCAGTGAAGTCCTCCCAGGCAAAAGGAACTTTGGTGCTGACATTAGTAAATTCCAGGATGAGAATGATGAGAGTGAAAAAAAAGCAGAAAACCCAGGTGAAGATGCACCATCCCCAATATGGCGAGGCGTCTGGTTTTACTGATGCCACCAGACTGAAACACATACAAGAGACGATGGCTGCCATTACTCGCATGATCCCAAGAGGCTGGGTAATGGATTTAAAATTCACAAACACCATGTCTGCTCTAGGATCAATCTGCCCAACCAAATAAAAATCCTGTTTTATTTCAGTCCATTTAACACTCTTCCTTTGCAGTGATGTTCAGCAGGATGCAGATTTTGCTGTCTGATATGTTGAAGAAATCCATGAAGCAAACCTTCCAGCAGGATTTATCTTTGAAACAGGAACTCTGGTGCAGTGTGTACTCTGGCTGAGCATCCTAGCCTTATCTGTTCTGTTTATGGCACCTGTTTCAGGCTGCTGATTGGACACTGGTTGGGTGTTATCAGACTCACCTTACACGATTCACTGGACTCTGGTCCTTGTTACAAGCCTCATTCGCATCTCACAGTGGAGAGGCCTATTTTGTTTTTTTATGGCTATAGTGTCCCTATTTGCATTAGTTTATTAACAGAAAAACATTTAAATAATGCTCTCTCCACTTGTAGAAATGCATATGCACAATCCTTTAACCGCTCCTGAGAGGGAACATCTATTTAACGCATGCAAGAGCATGGAAGAGCATGCAAGAGGCCCATTTCTCCTCGTCCATACCCTGTTTAAAAATTTCTGTTTGCATCACTCACACAAGCTTACTTTCCAAAGGAAGATTTGCAATTTTTCCACTATGTCAGACTCACCACAGGTAAGAGAAAATGGGAACTGTCTTACGGAAACATATCACCAGAATGGTTGACAATAACGAAGACAACTTATTTTGATGATCCACCTGGAAAAAGAATATCCTTCACCATACCTTACAATGTTTTATACCATGGGTTGACAACCCATGCCTCTGGAGGCAAATGCAGCTCTTAATCGCCCACCTTGTGGCTGCCTGGAGCTTTTTTTCAAAAAAATTTATGAGAAAAGATTTTGTTTGTCTTAATATGGTTTGCAGGAGGTCAAACAACATTCATTATGTTTTCCAATACTGTAAACATATGTATAATACATAAATTAAGACAAAAAATGTAAACATTTCTTTCAACGAAAATTTGCGTTACAGTCAGAGATGAGTGGTCATAGCCTGTAACACACATTTCAGTGTGGCGACAGACAGGTGTGTCTTGGGCCTGTCAGGGCTCTTGTCTGTGTGTTTGTTTTTGTGTTTGTCTCCCTTCCACCAACAGGAGG